TGGAGAAATTACTGAATTTCTAACATATCAAACTAAATTGTAAATTTATAACTAAAATGCGGACAACCTAAAAATCATCATGAATTTTAAACACATACACCCATTACCCAGTTGATATTACTAACTGATACTGTATTACACATAGTACAGGGGTAGAAATTAACTTTTGAACAAGGGAGTCCAACAGGACTCCCTGCCCTCAAAAAGAGGGAGTCCGCAGTCAGAAGTTCAAAACTAAAGATACAAACTAAATAATGCATGTGCTTATTTTGAAGATTCATGCGGTTGCACGTCTGCCAAATTTTCTTTGGACATTTGCTGAAAAAATATGGTAATTCCACGACGCCGTGCTCTGGAAAGAACTAGTTAGTATAGCAGAAGTTTCAGGGAGTCACACGGACTACTGCATATATGTCAAATCAGGGAGTACGAGAGTAAATTGGGGGAGTATTTGACTCCGGACTCGCGTTAATTTCGCACCCTGTAGTGTTAGTAGATGTTCATATTCCGTAATTATAAAATGTACTTTTCGTTTCACCCTCAATATTGAAATGTATACAATTAAATAATAATTGAATATCGGTAAAAGACATGTAGCAAGTCTAAATGAGTTCTAATGTTTGAATACCTCTATTTACGGTTATGTTGCGAATGTTGTGGAAAACTCGCTTTCTCCTTTTCGGCTTTTGCATCTTCTGTGAAGCTTCGCTGATCGAATACATGTCTATTTCATCTACTTTCAGCATAGACTAGCTAGATAAACAATGATCAAATTATGACAATCAAATCTTTTCAAAAACTGTCAACACTTATGAAAAATCCCATGAATTGTGCTCTCCCACGTCTGACATTGCGCTATTGACTTTTGTGTTTACATTATCATTTAACAATCCAAACTACAATTTAAAACTTTTGAATGATATGAGCCAATTCTGAATATATTAACAAATGCAATGGACTGTGTGATTTAGCTCTAGAACTATAGCTCTTCGCTCCCCCACAGGCCATGGAGCGAAGGGCTATACAGTGTAGCCCCGTTATAATGTGATGTCTATCAAACATCACTGCGAAAAAACAGGATCACGCTAAATCAAGGTTATATATATGTGGGCTATATAAGAACAAATTAGAACAAATAAGAAACTACAAATTTGTATATTTGAATAGTAGTGCTCGAATGTAGTGTGAATTGATAGATTACAGGCATAGCAAAAGCAAGGAACTGCACAATGTAAATGATAGTGTGTTAGTCATGCCTTTGTATATATATCCCTTCGGCTAGTTATCGCAATTCGTTACGAAGCTCAGACATTGTATCTTGTAAAAGTATGCTCTAGTATTGGTTATGATGCGGATAATTGGTCTAAATAAATAAATAAACTAAAAAAGAGCGAAAAAGGGGGTCCAACGACCTCATCGGCGTTATAGTCGAGATTCCATTAAATGCGGGTGCTCCACTGGTAGCCTATGAGCTGTATTGATTGAACAATCAAGTCGTATGAGTACATATGATATCACAGTTAACAGCTTAAGGAGGCAAGCTACTACAGTTCTAACTAACAGTATACGATTTAAAATTACATAGTAGTATACGAAATATCTTAGCGACTAGCAGAGGCGAATGCCTGTTAGGCGAATGAAGCAGGCGAGCTGTAACAGTAGGGCGCTTATACATGTAGTATAACTAAGGATTACACTAAGACACGCAGCGTATAATTTAATAAAGAAGGTTGATTCATACATATACTTCTTGATTGTCGCGACGGGCTACCCCCATAGTCGGGACCCCATAATAGATGGGGCGCCAATAGTGGCAATAATGAACGGCAAAAGAGAACAGAGATTTAGGGATATCTACCAACTGGGGTAACCAAAATCGGGCCATGTAAGTCTGTAACACAATCCCTAACATCTTAACAGTCTAACCTGCTATTAAAATCTGGTTGTCGTTACTATTACTAAATTCATTGATTAATTGGAATATAAAATAACAACAAGCCTTGCACAAATTATTACTAGCCTTCTACCCAGCGTAGACCCTTCGCTCCCTAGCTAGCAGGGGACAGGAGGAGCCGCCCAGCGGGGCGGCTACACCTTATTGTACTCTCTGTAGTCTGTGAGCTACACCAAAAATAGCTCTGGACCGAGAGCGGTTGCTGAAACCGTTAGATAGGGATACAATAATGTAACCCAAACACAGGAAGAGGAGTTAGGGGATGGGTTGCAGTTATTGTAATCAGGAGTTCTAATCAATATAATGTTGATACTCCTGATTGTATCTAAGCTATCTACTGTAACATTATAGCTTAAAACCACAGCCACTTGGACCGTTTCCCAATCAATAAAATGATGGTTAATAAATACAACTCTGTCAGTAGCCTCACTACTACAAGTACCAGCAATAGGTCTTAATGTTTGATTTGACCCTTAATAACTTCACTCAACCAGCCGTTCAATACACACCCGCTGCAAACATAGCCCGCACGCCATTGTGCATGCACAAATACACCAGTAAGGTAGGAGTTCCTACCTACTAGCTCCTTCCTACCTAGGAGTTCCTAGGTAGGTAGTCTACCGTACTGTGTATTTGTGCATGCACAAATGGCGTGCGGGCTATGTGTTGCAGCGGTGTATTGACGTGTTGAAGTGAATTATAAGGTCAAATCGAACATTAAGACTATTGCTGGTACTGTAGTAGTAGCTAACTGAGAAAAACGAAA